ATTATTTTATATTAATCAAAATTTTACTCTTTATTACATTGCTACTGTTAGGAATATTGCAAAAACCTTTGTTATTGCTTTTTTCAGGATTTAAAAAAACTTCTTGGACAGTCTTTAGAGGGTAAAGCTATCCTTCAAAGCTACGAAATAAATAAGTGTTTGGAAGAAGAAGATCGAACAGCCCTTGTAGATATTGTTACTAAGTGGTTACTTTTTCGTATTACTCAGTAAGTTATTTTATTAAAAGATATGTTTTAATGTGATTCTTGCTTATTTGTGTGTGAATAACAGTGGTTAAATTAAAATTTGTGATCTTTCTGATTAAAACTTAGCAAAATTTTGTTTTCTGTTTAAAAGGTTTAAAATATTCCTAGACTGATCTTGTTCCTTATTTTCTACTTACAGGCCAAAAAAATCTGAGTTAACTATATTGAAAGATAAGATTTTAACTCTATTTACAAATGAAGAGGTACTATAGTAAATAATTTTATCTGCATAAATCTTTTATTCATTTTATTAATAATTTATTAATATTTTAGAATGTTTATTATATTGCTCCAAAAGAAGAAGGAGGTAATCAATGTCTTGCTAGAGGAAAACTTTTTGATAGGACAAGAAATCTGAAAGAATGGATGAGAAAGAAAAATCTCCTTCCTAGAGTTAAAGCATCTAAACAGAATCCTTGTAATGAATCACCTGCTACAGAAACAGGTATTCTATTTGTTTTATATGTTGCATATAGATTACAATTTTTAAGACACAATTTAAAAACTAACTGGAAACTCGTAGAAAGCCCATATAATTTTTTTAGCTGGTAAAGAAGCTTAAATTTTTATTTAATTACTCACATATAATTAATCAAATTTGAATACTTTATCTAATAAATTAGATAGAAGCTTAATTGTTCTATGTGTTTTAATTATTTGCAATTGAATACAATTTTCTACAAAGTTGCCTCAACAATATGCATGTTTAATATTATGTTTATTTTTGTACAGTCAACTTTTACAACTTATAGTTTGGATCTTTTAAATTTTGAAATAGTCAATTTAATTTAAGTGAATATAATTGTTGAGGCAACTTTGTATTATAGAAAATTGTATTTAATTGCAAAAAATTAAAACACATAGAACAATTTAACTTCCATCAAATTTATTAGATAAAGTATTCAAATTTTGTTAATTATATGTGAATAATTGAGTAAAAGTTTAAGCTTCATTACCAGCTAAAAAATTTATATGGGATTTCTGAGAGTTTCTAGTTAATTTTCAAACTTTGTCTTAAAAATTGTAATCCTCTATAAAAAATAAGTTATATAAAAAGCTATTTTGCTTTTCTACTAGTTACCTAATACATTACTATTTCTTATGTGCAGCTGTTTCAATAAGACCCACAAATAATATAGAAATAGCTCTAAATTGGCTGAAAAATTTTCATGAACCATGGAATAAAGTAGAGGAAAAATGGACTGTAACATCTAAGTATAGACGAGATGTACTGATAGCTTCGAGATCTCAGGCTAAAGAACGACGTACAGAAAGTATGAAAGCTGCAGCTTATTTGGATGATTATAAAGTTCTTCGTCTCAGTCATGGTTACACATTAGTAAGGATTTTTGTTAATAAATTTAATGTTATTTTATGAACTAATGTTTTATTATAACTATGTTTTACTATAACTATATATACTAATGTTTTAATATAATATTTGTTCAAACAAAATATTACACATACACACACACATACTGACCATTCTTTTATTTTGTTTCATAGATTGAAATAGACTTTGTAATATCTTGTCAACCTGGTTTTGAAGATGCATTGATCACAAATTGGTCTTCATTTATTCAGAAAATTGATTCTATTTTAAAAAATAGTTCTTTTCTTATAAAAGATCCTGAAGGAAAAATGCTGCGGCAGCTTTACTTTAAGACTACCAACAAAGGTACAAATTATATGTATATTAACACTGTAAAATTAATTCTTGTTCATTATATTTATTATCAATATATTGTATTTGTAGAGGCAAAAGATATTTTACTCATGCAATGCTTATCTTCACTGCTACCTCCAAGTAGGCAGGTACAGCTTGGCACGAAGAAATTCAAACCCACAATTAAAGAAAGCAGAGATGCTTTTATTGTTAATGTTAAGGCAAGTTCTGTTAATATTTAACATTTGTAATTGTTCAATTGTTAATTCATGCATTTTAAATTAGTCAAATAATCTTTTGCAGATTCCCGGCCAAGTTGTAAATTTCATAACAGAAAGACGCGAAAAAATATGCAATCAATTTGGACGATCCGCTTCCGTACAGCCATATATTTTATATGTTGGCAAGGAACAAGATGTGATAGATGAAGTACTTGTTGTGATTGACAACTTCTGTTACAAGTTAGAAAGTTTCCAACATGCACTTGATGTGTGCTTTAAAACCTTTTTTGTTTTAGACATAGTTTTTACTGCTCAATGTGACCACGTATGGTTACTTATTCAAAAAGCTCTTTATGGCTTTACAACTACAGATGACATAAATATCCTTAAAGTAACAAGCTTCTTAAAAAAACTTGAATTAATGGATAAGGAAAACTAATTTAAATAATTGTTTAAGAAATTATTTACATTTTGAAGACTTTTATTTTTCAGACTTTTCTTTTTATTATATAACAGTTATAATTATGTAAAAAAGTGACTGCAACTTATTGTGATATTAAACTAAACAAACCTATAGTTGCTAAAACATCATACTGACAATAAAAAGAATGTTATCTATCTAATGAAAAATGATAATTGAAAGAACGTCGAATAAACGTCAAATGAGTCGAATGAACATTGATTCGACATTTTTTCAATCAATTATTTTTTGTAGAGTACCGTTCAGCATATTGTAATGAACATCTGTTCCTTTGTTATAAATGTAAAATTTCTTTAATAGTTTAATTATTTTATTTTTATCAGTAAATATTGCTCATATGAGACGAGAAAAGAATAATTAATATTTTGATTTAATTTTGATTTTATTTAGGTATTGCTCAGTGTGATGTTCACCTTTAAATAATCATTTTTAACGTAAGTATAAAAGTGCGTAATATATGTGTTAACGTCTTAAAGATTTTATTCCTTATAGTACTTATCTTCGTTACATATTTTTATCATGTTTGTGTGTTTTGTTTGTGATACATCTTTTCAAACATGTGATGTTCTGATGGCTCACATTAGGCTTTTTCATTCAGACAGATTGTTATCTAATGATTTCATGTGTGCTCAGCCAAATTGTATTAGAAAGTTTAGTCGATTGCATTCCTTGAAACGACACTTAGACTCTCACAATTCCTCATCTGTTACCATCAAACATCACAAACTTGAGAATGTAAATAATATTCCACAAAATAATGATATGATTGAGTTAAGGAATCTTAATGTATGTACCGATGTTCAAGTAACTAACACTAAACAGCAGTCTGATTTCACACAGTCTGATTTCATTACTTCAATCACAAACAATACACTTGCGTTTTTGGGTAAATTATACAGCATTGATAATATGTCCCGTTACCATGTTCAGTTTATTGTAGAAAATCAGATTGAAATGCTACATAATGGTGGCTACTTGGACATACTTGAGAACAAAATACTTGGTATACTTCAAAATCCAGTCCAAAAAGATAAAGCTCTTCAAGAGGTACGGCACATGTTTCATTGTTTAAGAAATATGTACTCAGGGCTTGAAACAGAACATCTCAGATTTAAAAATTTTATAGAATGTGGTGCTTACATTAAACCTGAAGCTTTTATTGTAGGCCATTCTGTAAGTTCAAAGCATTCATATGGATCTGTGGTAATGGAGTCAACTGATCTTTATGGTCAATTTATTCCCATGCGCTCAGTATTACGTGCATTTCTGGAATTACCAGGTGTCTTTAAAAAAATTATATCATATATGAATAAATTAGAAAGATCAGATGGCTCTATCATTGAAAATTTAATTCAAGCAAAATTATGGAAAGAAAAAATCAAGCCCAGGTTTCCTAATAAACTTCTGTTTCCTATTGGATGCTACTATGATGAGTTTGAATCCGGTGATACTTGCTCTCCTCATAATGGTGTTAATAAGATAGGTGGTTTGTACTATTTTTTACCGTGTTTACCACCTGAGGACAGAGCTTCTTTAGAAAATATTTTCACAGCTCAAATTGTATATGCACAAGATAAATATTTTGGAAATAGTGAATTATTTCGCCGCACTCTGCATGAGTTACAGTATCTTGAAACTGAAGGAATTACTGTGGTGGCAGATGGCAAAGAAACTCAAGTTCATTTTGCACTTGCTGTGTTTGTAGGTGATAATGAAGGCGTACATAATGTATTGGGATTTACTAATTCCTTCAATGCAAACTATTGTTGTCGAAGATGCAAAGTTCATAAATCTGTGTCTTATACTCAAACAAAAGCCGATCAGTCTCTTTTAAGGAATCGACAAAATTATGCTGCAGATGTTGTTATAAATGACCTCAGCAATACAGGTATAAAATCTTATTGTATATGGAATGATCTTTTGGCATTCCATTGTACTGAAAATATTGCTTATGACTTAATGCATGATCTTGATGAAGGATCATGGAATTATGACATGTGTTTACTAATTCTGAAATTAATTGAGCTGAAACGCTTTACTATTGATGAGTTAAATAATAGGATTCAGGGATTTGATTATGGCTATTGTGAGGCATCAAACAGGCCAGGTATACTTGAAATAAAAAATCTTAAAAAAAGAAGTCTTCCATTTACAGCTGCTGAGACACTGTGCTTTGTGAGGCATTTTGGTCTCATGATCGGAGATTATATTACAGTTGAAGATAAGCAACTATGGCGCTTTTATGAAGTCATTGTTGAAATTGTCAACATTCTTCTTTCTCCAACTGTGAGATGTAATGACAAGATACTTCTTAAAAGCTTGATAACTGAGCATCATTCTTTATATTTAAAGTTGTTTTTCAATGAGACTTTAAAACCAAAACATCACAACATGCTTCACTATGAAGAATGCTGTGAGGAAATAGGGCCTTTATTGTTTATGTCATGCTGGCGCTTTGAAGCAAAACATAGACCATCCATACGATATACTGGTGCCAATTGTTGCTATAAAAACCTACCTGAGACATTAGCTCAAAAAGCTCAATTGAAATTTTGTCAGCGTCTTCTTGCTCAAAAGGGTTTAGAACCGAAAATTACAGTATCGACTGGAAAATTCATTCGTACTAATACAGTTAAAAATTCTGATAATTTTATTCATCTTTTGCCCAATAAATTTGCCAATGAAATTTATGTTTTAAAATGGGCTGATGTGTTAGGTACCTATTATAAACCGGGAATGATTTTATTAGCTGGCTTTGGAGAAGAACACCCTGTATTTGGTCAAATAGAATTTATTTTATTTGAAATTGATACTAAGACTGTTTTTTTTATTTTGAAAAGTTTCGAGACTTTATCACTCTCTTCTTTGTATCAAGCATATGAAATTGTTCCTCTAGAAGAGTGGATTTTTATACAGCAGAAGGCACTTCAAAGTCATTTACCAACCTATGTTCGAATAAGTCCAAACGGGTATTCTTACATAACTTTCCGGCATAAATTGTAATCAGGAAATACTTTTAATGCGCAAATAATGAAAATTGCTTGAATTTATTTTTTTTCTAAACATTAGATGTAAGTAAAACAATCTTAAATCGAATTAATATATATGCCTTTTTGTTAATACTATA